CCTAATGTATAAAGCAGTAAATAACATGGTAGCCATTCCTATACACAACATTCTCACCAAAAACACAAACATTACAAGAGGACATCACTCACGCTTCATCACCATCCCATGCAAGACAGAAGCATACAGAGCCAGTTATTTCCCTCGAACCGTCATCGAGTGGAACACACTACCAGGTACACTCATATCTTGCACATCCCTTGATGCGTTTAAGGCGGGATTGGCCAGTCACCTTGGCCTCTCCGCCTATACCCAGCTGTAGGGTCATTTTTGTTTTCTGGTGTGGCTTTTGTATATAGTTGCACATTTCGGTTTCTTCTTTTTGCAATTTATTATTTATAGATCATTTTTCATTTGTTTGTATATTTTTGTTGCGCACCACCACCTGCCACACCAGCTGCACCTCCTTTCCCGGGACGTGATGTGCCGTGAGGCACTTTGTCCCGTATCAAGTAGATGTAGATGTAGATGTAGATCTCTATTTCTCTTCAAATCTGTTTGAAGCCTCTATATACTAGAGAACCCTGTGCACGTCATTCTGTTGATGTCTTCCCCCAATCATTACATAATTTAGTTACTAGTATAACTTTTGTTATACATTTATTTATACGTTACCTGTGCAGCAGGGTTTCGCATGAGGAGTCCAGCACGCTCCCCTGTAGCAGGTATTCCTGCATGCTCACACCGCCCGACATGGCGGCAAACTCACGATATTCTATTACCTGAACGTCTAACTTTTACCGACGTAACGTAACGTAACGTTTTATATACGTTACCTGTGCAGCAGCGTTTCGCATGATGAGTCCAGCACGCTGCCCTGTAGCAGGTACTCCTGCATACTCACACCGCCCGACATGGCGACAAACTCACGATATCCCTCCCGATACAACAGTCGGTAAACTGCAGGGTCTTAGCGCCGATTCTACAAGTCTTAGCGGACGTGGATAGGGCCTAATAAGGAATTCAACTTAAAATACAGGATACTTTCGTTCGACGTTACTTTGTGTGTGTTGGGGTCATGGAGCTGAAAGTTCATAGGACGAAACCATTATAAAAAGGGTTAGATGGTGAAATGTAACAAAAATGCATTAAATGTGTCTTTCTATTCTTATTGTACATAATAACATTATATATACATATTCAATTAAATTTTTGTTTCATAGGTTTGAAATGGTAGTTTCAATATCAGTTAAAACGTTTGGAGTAATCCACCCACCGAATGCAATGTACTATGCCACTGGTACTATGCCGACCGGAGGCGGATGGATATAGATTGGATGTACTGAAGTCAGGCTGGTCATTTGAATAAAGAAAGTAGTTTCCCTCAAATTCTGTGAAATTTATGTCATTTTTTGCTTCAACCTGCTAAAAAGACTGAAGCATATCCTGTAAATGACATCTGTATATTTCAAATTTCGTCGTTTGCAAAATTATTCAGTAAAACTTTATGGTTTCGATTGTTAAATTTGGCGGATGAGTCGGTAGCCCACAAGTAGTCGTGATGAGGCTCATTTCGCGCCAAACTTTGAGGTCATTTGACATTAGAAGAAAAGGAATCGTCTGCTGATCTCCAAGAAAAAGACACCCAAAACCCTTAGAAACGACTTGCCAAGGTAAAGTAAAACCTCTTGACTTTGCATCATGGTTAGAGGATAACGAAAAGTAATATTTTGTGTGGATTTGGGGCTTAAATTATGATATTTGCGCTCAGTGTACCTGAAAGTCCTCAAGGGTTGTGAAGTTTTGCGTTCCAGATTTCAGAGTTTTCTGGAGTAGGTTAAAATCCTACTAGCTTGATAATATCAGGATATGTCTGCAGGATTTTGCGTTTCATTCTAGTCGCAAGAATAGAGTATAAGAACCAAAAATAAGGGCTAAAAAAACTCCTGAAAACAAGGAAACTGTTGTTTTTCCCGCTCTCAGTAAAATGAGAAACCCCCTGGGATCTTATGAGCTCTAACTCGAAACATCTGGTGTCTTTGAATCCAACTTGTCCAAGTCTGATAGTTACTAACGTTACTTCCTCTAAAATTATAAACTTCTTAAATACCACATGATTTGTTCTTATTATCCTAAAAACGTAACACAAGTTGGGATAAAGAAAAGAAGCATCTGGGCGCCGAAGTTGACTCGGCCCACATGTTCGGGGCACTGCTATAAAAGTCGGCCCATAAAAGTTGGTATGTGTGAAATGGCGCGAAGCTTTTCGGAAAAGTGTTGATCACTCGTCAGATCGGAAAATAAATTTTGCTGTAGAATCATATTAAATACATATTAATAAGAGATAAATATTATATTATATAGAATCCGCTACTTTGTTGCATACTTATGCGGACTTTGGCGAACAAATTTGCCCATTTACAGCATGCAAAGTTAAAGTTCAGTGAGATAATTCTTTCAATCAGTGACTATTAAATCTTAAGGTACATACCTCCGAATTTTCGAGGTTAAAGGTTGTCAATTTTTTTTTCTATCCTCCTGCAAATTGCCAGAGAATTATACTCCTATCACCAAATATGTGAATATGTTTGACTAAAGAGTAGGCCAATATTGACTTGAGTGAAGGTAAGCATGATGCATTTGCTTTGCAAATGTTACCTAAGAAAGTTTCTAGTTTTTACCTGGTCTCATTGCAGAAATTACTGTACTGTTGATTTACTATCACATCTGTTCTAGCAGGTCGACCATGGAGCAGTTTGATATCATCCTGAAGGGTAACGGGAATTTGGAAGGTGCCATTGCCAGACAGAGGTACTTCCTCACCACCGCAGACCTGGCCGACTTGAACTACTCCATCCCCCCCTGGCACGGCTGGGGAATGGGACGACCCACCAAGCTCTACAAGGCTCAAGACCTGGTCAAAAGGGTCGGTGTCAATTTCCTAGGGGTGTTTTTTTTTTTTTTGTAAAAAAACAGGAGGAGCTAGTAGAAACAGATAAAAACCCCTGGACCCGGGCCGGGGTTCGAACCCACGACCTCCTGAGCACCAGCTTCAAACCCGACGCTCAAACCACTTGTTTAAAAGGTCTAGACCCGTCGGCTGGGTCAGTTGGTAGCGCCTATAAACCCGCAAATGTTACACGTTAAAAAGTATTCCATGTGTATTATGCATTCAAGGTGAATAGATATAATAGATATAGGGCACATATTCCTTGTATAATTACCTGGACAAATCAGGAACCATAGTGACAGTCGGTTGAAGAAGAAAACATAAGGAGTGGTCTACGCTGGAGTCTACATCAGTTTGATACATGTAACAGTTATATGTTTATAGGTTTTACGAGAGCTTTACATGCATATACACTAGTTACATGTATATACCTTTATCCACAGGCAGAACAGAAGTATGGAAAGGAAGGGTTTTTGGAGAAGCTGAGCCAGAGAGAGGAACGAGAGAAAAAGAGGAAACTGAGTTATGAGAAGGTACATTGTAAAACTTTGGTATAGTGATTAGCTCATTTTTTTATAGGTGATGTCAAGACAGTCTGTATGCCATTGGTTGATGAGTAGCAACTCCTCTGTGTATGGAAACTAACCAAAAGGGTACGTAACGTACATTGGCTACAAGTAACCACATTTTATGTTCACCTTCACAGAAGGAAAATCATACTGTTTTTGCTCTGTTTCTTCTTCCTCTTCTGTTTCTTCTCCAAACAAATAAGGTCAATGACCTAAAACGGATGTCTGTCACCATGGTAACTGGTGTTGGGTAAGGTTGCAATTTTATAGCAGGAGGGATTTAGACTCCTGTCGCCATGTGATGTGAACGTGTTTGAGTAAGAATTAACAGAGCAAAGGTAAACATTATACATTTACTCTGTAAATGTTGTTTCTGTGTTTTTCCTTTTCCTCTCAGAAAGAGAAGGAGCAGCAGGCCTGTGAGAGTAAGAGGCAGAAGTTGTTGGAAGCCTGTCCTGAGTGGGGCAGGCAGCAGCTGACAGACTCTGCTAGTGTGGGGGCGCTGGCTCAGAAGTGCAGCCTGGAACAACTGCAGCAGGTAAGCAGCAAACATATGCCAAAAAATGTCTAACCTTCATCAACTATTCATTCAGTAATGGAAAGTTTGTTTGAGTCTTCGAGTGATCATGAAATGCTGGCCAGTTTTCCTTTAGTTCATGATCAAAACAGTCAGCTACATGTAACATGTAGGGGTCAGTCAAAATATAACTGACAATGGTTACAACTTACGAATGGGGTTCGTGTGGCAGAACGGCAGAGTGCTCGACTCAGAACCAAGAGGTCCCGGGTTCGAGTCCTGACATGCCACTGATATTGTGCCCTTGGGAAAGGCACTTTACACGACTTTCCTTACTTAACTCAAGTGAAAATGAGTATTGTCTGTCCTGTATTTGTTTCTATGTGCGGGACACAACACCAGCAACAGCTGCCTGTGTCCCACATGTATTGCACTGTTGCAATTTCAATAAAGCAAATCAAATCAAATCAAATTATCAAGAATAAAGGCTTTGCTGTTTCCTTATTTTGTATAACTTAGGAACCTTGAGTTTTTTGCTATTTGCTTGTTTGTTATTTTTAGTTGTTGAATGTTATTCGCACACCTGTTGTTTATCAGATTCTTGTACTGGCAGCTGAGAAGAGCCCCCTGGTGATCGAGGCGCTAAATGCAGCAAAGGAGGAGGGACTGTTGCCCAGGAAGGACTTCAAGCAGCTTCACTCCAAACTGGCGAGGTACTTCGCTTCAGATGCAGGTAAGGAATCAGCAGTCCCAATCACAGAAAACTTCAATTTACTTAAAATTTTACGATCAGGTTCTGCACTTTCTAATTCTGCACCACCTTGTACCTCCCCAACTGTGCGTGTAGTGAGGAAAGTCATGTAAGGTGCCTTTCCCAAGGACACAATGTCCAGCCCAGAATGCAGCTTTAGAGTCAAACCCATGTTAATGCCTTGTACATTGAGCTATTCTATGTTACATGTACAATGTATTTGCAGACGAGGCTCTGAAGAGGTCTGCGGAAAAGGCTGCCCAGGCCGCGGCCAGCCAGGCCCGGCAGACAGAGCTGAACTCTGGCATCGATGGGGAATGGGAGCTGAAGGTCACCTCCAACCATCCCAAGGTCAAGGGGATGAAAGGTCGGTACTTGACATGTCTTTCCATGGAGTGTTGGATGACTGATTATATAACTGCACTGACTTACAGGAATCTGGGAGCAGGAACACTTATGAAGAAGGCCTTTGCAATCAACTGAAAATTCATAACGTTTGAATCAAGCTTAAATGTTACTCTATGGACTCTGCCTTAGATGAGCCTCTTTAGAATGAAGTGGCTGGCATTTGAATAATCTTTGAGTTTGAGTTTGAGTTTATTTAGATCCACAATTAGCTTAACAATTCATATTGCAGCTATTCTTCCTGTGGTCAATTAACATATACACCTGACACACATAAAATAACTTATACAGACATAAACATGTACAGAAACTCCACAAAAACACCAAGTGACAGAAACAAAGCTAGCTTACATGACCGCCATATATCTAAACTAAAATACCTATTTTACATTTCTCCAAAAGTTATTGCACATTGTTCCATGCCTCTACAATTTCATAGTGTTCCAGGTGTGTGACATCCGATACAAAAAGCGTTTCTCTGAGCATTTGT